AAGACCAATAACCGTACAGTGCAATTAGACTTGCATTGCTTCGCCATATAAACATAGACATATAAAAACAGCCCAAATTTTGACCCCGTTAAACCTTCTATTGATAAGTAACCTATTATCATCTGTTCATCTCACGCCAATTCGAACAACTCCATCAGTGTTTAAAAAATTACGGTCAGTGTATAGACGGTGTGCTCTAATAGAACCTTCTAAATTTCTAAGAAACTTCTTTGCAACCGATTCTCATATCACGACATATCTCAAAGTTTACAAGAAAGCAAAATACCATATGAAAAACAATCCTCATACACGTTTTCCGCATCATCGTTCCAATCTTCGTCGCCTCTAACCCAGCGGGTGCCTTCACTGTTTATAGCGGTCGATGAGTTCAGTCAATATATTTTTCTTGGCCTTTTTGCTTCAGGAGCCTCCTTTGCTGTAGGCCTATTTTTTGGATCCTTGTTATCAACCAGATAATCAATCTAGTCTTCTTGCTGTTGCAGATATTCACCATTTGATTTTCGGTGGCTTATGACTTTTGCATTATCACACTTGTTTGTTACAGATATAAACTTATGGCACAATCATGCATACCGTTTCGGAGTATCTTTTCGCAACCATTCTCGCTCTTGTTGATTCCTGCACTGTAAAATGCACGCTCACACGTGCGTGCATTAGAATTGTCTTTGCCTTAGATGAGGGACCGTTCATCTCTGATGTAGCTTTAAGTCATTTCAGTTTTACTTCATTTCTTCACATTCCGCTGTAATAGGCGCCTTCATCCGTATGCTCAAAGACCATTTTTTGCCTCATTCTCGCTTATATTTATCTTTATTTTAATTTGCCGCTGTGGCATACTTCGAACTTATTCAAACATTGAGAAGTTCAAAATGCATTGTCATTGTTATGCTACACGTTCCCCTATACACTACGCCTGACTAGTCTAATAGAAGACCTGTTAACCTTCTGACTATAAAGATCTCAAGGTAGCATTTCTAAGGAAAGGCACGGCGAAAACTAGTCTGTGAATCAGTCAAACGATGTTGTAATGAAAAAGCTAAACCGGTTTGCACTATGATAAAGGAGCTGAGGTGTCATGCTATCTGCCTTCATGTCTGTTTGCGTGCCTACCACTACCTGTGTTATGACCACTGGATACCGAACGAATATGATACAGGCTTCAAGCAGCAGAAATGCGATTTCTTCACAGGTGCGTTTTAATGATAACGCTCTACATGCATCGGAACATGACTGTGGAACGTCACCGCCCTGTGAGTCGTTCTCCTGTAATCGCAGTTTCGATGGATATAAGAGGCGATCAAGATGTCAAAGCACATGCAAGATGGATACTTCGTAACGTGACAAAACCAACAGCTACGTAGTGGGTCTGGCCTGACTGGCGAAAGCTAAGGACCATGTAAAGTTTTCTGCAACTGCTGCTTCTCAAGCCAACTGGCCGTTAAAACGAGGTGTGGTTCCCAGCTTCACTCACTTGCAATTTTACAACAGAAACAGAAAAATATAATAAATGACCGGTTACAATAAAATTTTACTTCCATAAATTTTATGAAAAACGTTAACAAACCTGCAAAACTGTACAGAACCGCAAACTTAAAGTCGATAAACTGACATTAAAAATTTGAGAACTAGTTTACATGAAAATTAAAAACTAAAATTTCGGAAAAAAATAAAAATCTAACAAGCACAAAAGTAGTTCATCAGTAAATGAGATATATCAATATTTAAGACCTGAAACGACGCAACTGGTCAATTTGCGCAGCAAAACGTCTAGAAAATGCACGAACTGGAACATGATCTGAAGATGGATGCACAACGCCTTCAATAGCCCTTGTGCAGAAATTCGCCTTCCTAGAACCTTGACTCCCATTCGTTTGAACTTAACAAGTAACAGTCACATGATCAGGCACACATACATGATGCTGCAATCATATCTTCCATTACAGTTAGTACGAATGACTGTCCATTCTT